AGGTGACCCTGCTTCGGCAGGAGGGTTGGACTAGATGACCCACAGAGGTCCCTTCCAACCCCTACCATTCTGTGATTCTGTGATTCTGTCTCCATGCTCAGGGAAACATCCCGTCAGCTTCAGGTCTCTGTAGACCAAGGCAGCCAGCTTCTCTGGGCCTCCTGGAGCTTTGGGGATGATTTCCATGGGCAGAGAGCCTGGCCCCGCTCCCTGGTGCGTGGATATTGAGCTGGTCTGCCACCAGCCTGCGGGAAGCGAGTGCTCGTGGAGGTTTTGGCGCTTGCGCTCTTCACAATTAAGCTGTCATGCAGCGTGGGCACAGCGCTGAGCTGCTGGCAGGTTGGTTGGTTGCTGACTCAATGCCAAAATGTTTAGCAGGTCTGAAAACTGCGGAGTGGGAGCCACCGTAACACTGCTGGGAGGCGCGAGCTCTGCTCACCAGCACTGCCTCGTTAGTGGTACAGACAGTGGTTATGGAGAGCGATGAGATTCTACTGCATCTGCTCATCTTTGTCCCTCCTAAGCCCAGGAGGCCAACAGAGTGGTAGAAGGAAACCGAAAACATATCCTGGCTCCTGGGTTGAGCAGACTGGTGGGGGAAGGGGTGTCAAATGACGTTGCTTTTGAACCTGGAAGCTGACTTCACTTAAATAGTGATGTCCTTAACCGCGTCGCTGCTGATGTTTTAGGCGTTACAGCTGAACATCCCATCAAGTGCATTCTTTGCCATCATTTCCTTCAAGGAAAGAAGATTGAAAGCTTTTGTTGTGCAAATAGGTGCATATTCAGAATAATGCTCTTTTGGTGGTTAAAGCAGTTAGGAATCTGGTTCTTATGTTTTTTTCTTTGATATTGCTAGTTAAAAAAATAATTGCTTGTCTTTAGTTTGACGAATGGGATTATCTGTGGGATCTACAAAGAGGTTCCCAGTCCCATAGTGATCAATGAAACCTCTGACATGTATTTTAGAACTATGATGAATCTTTAATATAACAATTTAATAAGAAGAAAGGAAGATCTTTTAAAGAAGACAAAGGCAATTTCTGTTTCTCTCTGTGTCACTCTGCGAGCTCCAAGTAATGTAAACAACTCCTGGTCTCTGCTGGACCGTTCCACAGTGGTAGAGATCTCTCAGCCTCGCAAAGGACCAGTTTATTCTGGTGACCACTGTGGTTTCTTTTTTTTAGCCTGTGCTCTGACATCTCTTTCTGTTTCCTCTGTGTAGGGTATGAGAGCTGGAGGGAGCTGGCTAAGGCTCTGGCAGACACGAATGTCCCGGGTGGGGACCCAAGCCTTCAATTTTACTATCTGCAGAAGCTGGGACGCCAGGTGAGGAGGCTTGGGATGTCTTCTGAACGCTTGGAAGGGCAGACCTTCTTTTCTGATGCTGGCCCCAAGGGACAGCTCTCTCTTCATGCAGGAAAGAGAGCATGCCACAGGGCAAAATCTGAGCTGATTCACAGCAGTGTTAATGTACAATGACTCCACTGTAGTCAATTAATTTATTTTAGATGTACTAAGCCGCAGCAGTGGGCTGAAGCTGGCTGGGTATGTGGCACAGGAAGGTAGCACTAAGCAGAATGGAAGCAGAAATGTAAGGTCAGAGAGTTTGCAGCTTTCTAATGAACCACATCAGTAGTGTAGCCTGAAGGAAGCGTTGGAAGAGCTGTTGCTTGGACCTTTTTTAAAGAAGGATTGGGGAAAAAAAAAAATGGAGAGTGACCAAAGTTTTACCTCTCTGCTAGCAAAACAGTTATGAAGCGCTGGTATCCTTTCCCCTCAGTAGCTCACCACAGAAATTTGCTGTGAAAAAAGCCAGGGAGCATTTTCACCTTATTATGACCACGATAGCTGGTCCATCCTTTCGAAAGGGAGCTTGGGAGCTTGCTGTTTTCTCACATGTTCTTGAACCACCTTCTGTAGGTGTCAGCTCCGGGTCATTTATCAGGTTGTTTTGACTTTACTTGTATTTCAGAATGAATTGCTGCAAAGAGGTGGGAGGAATAAATCGAATTACGCAGCTGTGGACAAGCCTGTGTCCTGGATGCCGGAGGTGGGTGCCTTTCTCCATCGTTTTGTGTGAGGGAGCTGTAGCTAGAGACCTGTGCAGCCAGAACAGAAGACAGGGACCTCTGCCTGGAAATTCATTTGCTTCACTAGAATTCCGTTCCCTATTATCCCCTCCTGGCATAATGACACTTACAGACCCGAGTAATCATCTGGAAAGACAGGAGTGTCCAGATTCCTGATAATTTGGTGTCCCCCCCAGCCATCAAGGCACCAAGCACCCACCCACAAATCTCTGAGAGCAGGCAGCCCGCTACCTCCCCAAAAGGTGAAGTCTGTTCAGGGCTGGCAGGGCGCAGGGCCAAGCACTCAACAAGCAAATATACGACTGTGACACGCAGAAGTGTCACGCTCTGCTCTTGCTCTGGTATTTGCTTGCTGTCCAACTCATATGCATTGTGTGTAGAGATTTCTCCACTTCAGTGGCACTTCTGATGAACAGAGACCTTCTCTGGTGACCCTTGAAGACTGGGGTAAACATTCCCTTTGTTTCCTTCATGCCTCATTTGTTCTTTCCTCTCCTGTTCCCTTATCTCGCCATTCCTCTTCAGATAAGGGAGCAATGCAGCCTGCTGATAGTGAGAGGGACACCAGCCAGGGGCCATTTGCCTAATGGAGTCAGCTCACTAAATTCCTCGAGGTGATTAGAGACCCACACAAATTAGAAGGGGCTCTGGGGCTGCCCTGGGGAGGGAGCCCGCTGCTGTCCCTGCACTCAGGGCACCAGAAAGCACCTGCCTCCAGCCATCGCGCTGGGCAGTTCAGATCCCTGCGGCGTGAGCTAAAGCTTTCCTGGAAGCAGCCAGCACCAGTCACCCTCCAGTGCCCAGAACCAGACCATGCCCTGTGTCCGCTGGTGTGCGGCAGATAGGCCACGAGAAGACTTTGAGACCTAGGGCAGACAGATACCAAACTGGGGAGCTGGTTTGGGTGGCCTCACCCTACTCATGCACCCTGCTGTTCTCCCCATCAGCCCTCTGATGCTGCTCCTGTGAAGTGCCTGACTCCTTCTCCAGCTGTCCCTTTGAGTCTAGAAGACAAAATTTCCTGCCCTTGCTGCGGCACTCTGTCTGTACCCAGGGGCTCAGCAGAGCCACCCTGCCTGCCAACAGAGGCCAACGGTTCACCAGTGCCAGCTGTGGGAGGTGGAGAGGGATCCACGGGCACAGCTCTGTATGGAGCTGCTTGCTGTTCTCTTAACCACCGGCTGAAATTTCTCCTGGCCTGGCGATTAAGGTTTTCTGTAACTCTGCCCAAATTAATTACCCAGGGTCTGTGATCCCATTATGCCCTCCCCGCAACATCTCAAGAACTTAATTGAAGCCTGATTCCCCCTGGGGTGGGGGGCGGCAGGTTGCCTCCCACAGGTCGGGGAGCTGGGCCTGCTTTGAATAGAGACGTATATTCCTGGCAAATATAAATAATTAGCAGGATTTCAGGGTGAGCTGGCAGCCAGGATGGCCAAAAACCGACAGGTTTCTGTTTTCCTCTTTCGATTAAATTGGCAGCTGAAGTCTTCAGCCTTGGATAATGTGGTGGGAAAGTGTGCGCGTAAGAAATCCTTAATGAAGTTATACCCTACATGGGGGGAAGGCAGCGTTCAGCCTCCCTCCTGGCTTCCTCGAGATGTCCGTGCACACGATCCCTACCACCACTGTCCCTTCCAGGCACCGGGGCAAAGTCTTCCAGCTCGCAGCATCACCCACTGCCTCCTCAGGCTGGAGAGCTGCGGGACGTTTGGTTTCACAGAATCACAGAATCACAGAATAGTAGGGGTTGGAAGGGACCTCTCCTCCCTGGGCAGCCTGGGCCAGGGCTCCGTCACCCTCAGAGGGAAGAAGTTCTTCCTCATGTTCAGCTGGAACTTCCTGTGCCTCAGTTTGTGCCCATTGCCCCTTGTCCTGTCACTGGGCACCACTGAAAAGAGCTTAGGTCCCTGGAGTGTCCCCACTTGGCACTGCCGTAGGTGTGGGGGGATTTTCAGAAATGCAGCTGGTTAGCTCCATCCTTCTCGTTTACCTCTGCAAAAACCTCTCTTCGGCTCTGGGGGAGAAAGGTCTGGGCAGCACTGGGCAGCATTTAAAATGTCCCCTCTTCACATCTGTGCAGCCTCAGGGCTTCCTTCTTGCTGGAAGGAGGTGCGAGGGATGTCTGGGAGCGCAGCCTGTTGCAGGCAGTGCCTGTGTAGGTGCATGGGTGCTGCATGAAACCAGGGCGTTGTGCCAGGCCACCCCCTTGCCCCCCAGCCTGCCCTAAGAGGAAGCACCCTTTGCTTAGAGGACTAAAAGATAAAGCTATTCCAGCTCTCTCTGTCCCTGCCCACGTCCCTTCCTTGCCTGCTCACGCGAGACAGGGGGGCTCTGTTGCTAACTTGTCTTGATGGATTCCCGCAAGTGCCGGGCACGGCAGAGCTCGCAGCAAAGCCCAGCTGCTGGCTGCTGAATGTCACCCAGGCAGGGGAGCTGGGCCAGGCAGGAGGAGGGGCCGCGGCCGCTC